GAGCCAAAGATGTTAGAATTGTGTCGATGTCCCAATATTTCTGGACCTGACTGTATGCTTCCAGATGCCCTTTGTGCATTTAACATCACGTTAAGTTTGATGAATGTGTTACTTTAGAACTTTACATCCCCATTGTTTCATTACAATTTTCCCCTCAGTATTAGGCTTTAAAAGCACTTTCCATGGTCAATATGCCACTATTAGCTGGTGAGCATGAGGAGACCCAGCCTTGTTTCCAGGTTGAAGCTGCAGAAATAGGTCGGGATCATTATAGTCACTGTATGGTGAGATATGTCCCATCCCAACTCTAAGTTCTGGAGGAAAAAAGGGAGTGGGTTGGCTGCTATCTTGTCAAACCAACTACAGTGCCATGGCAATGCCAGGCCAATCTGGGAGCCAAGAACCCCTTTGGGATATTTCAGACTTGTAGTGGGCAGATGAATAAACCCCATGCCTCTCTTTTCCTGAGAAAAAGGGAAATACAACAATATAACATGTAATACATTTCATCCTAAAAGCACCTCTTCTTTTCTTAGTAATTTTTATCCCAACAATGTAATATAGGAATAAAGGAGGAAATAAGAGACCATGTAAAATTTATCTATAACTACTGGCAAATTCATAACTGAGCTGGGGCAGAATTACAAGACTTCTACCTCATAGCTCGTAGCTAATAATCACTGCACTATGGCTAAAATACTGGACACAGATAAAAATACAAGTTATGGAAGAGAGGTTAGTTATGGTATGGGAATTACATTTCAATGGCAAATTACGCTAGTCTTAAATAGAGAGAGAGAAACAGAACGGCTTTATTGATAATTGATTTCCTCGTGCTATCATGAGGCCACAGCCAATGAAGGAGGCATCCGTTCTTTTATATCATTATAAATCGTTACATTTGTACAGATTAGCCATTTCTGCTGGAGTCAGAACAATGGGCTAACTTGACAGATACTATCTGCCAGGTAAACTGTGAGTCACAGATCTAATTCTGCTTAGACAGACTTCTTGACCAGAAATATTTAGGATTTTATCTTGCATCCAAGATAAATGGATGTATGTACCAAGCAGCTATTTAACAACAGCTAGAATGACTGGCAACCCTATCACTATATGCAGCCTATGTTTTTTGTCAAACAGTACAGAAAAAAGAATTCTAAAAATCTCCAGGCACTGATCTTCATTTCGTGGAGTCCTTGGGGTTCTCTGAGCTTGTTTCTTTTCTTGCAAACGTTTCATTATCCAGCTAGGTAACATCTTCAGCACTGAAGATGTTACCTAGCCGGATAATGAAACCTTTGCAAGAAAAGAAACAAGCTCAGAGAACCCCAAGGACTCCACAGTGCAACCCTGAGCTACACATATTCACCTCCATTGATCTTGATTTCCTACAACCAAACACATTTCACAAAATTGGGCAAGATTTGAAAATTGAATACAATTTATAAAAGTCTACTTCAAACAGGGTCATTTGATTTATGACATAGTGAAGTGTGTAGTGTCAGACATTTTGGAAAGTGAAGTTAAATGGGCCCTAGAAAATGTTGCTATCAACAAAGCTGCAGGAATTTATGAAATACCTGCACAACTGTTTCATATCTTGCAAGGATGACATTGTTAAAATGCTGCTGACAGTTCATAAGCAGATATGGCAAACACAGCAGGAGCCAGAGAACTGTAAAGATGAATCTGTATTTAAAACCAAAAAATGACAGTGCCAAAAGATGTTCAAACTACCAAAGAATTGCATGTGTTGCAAACATTTGATGGATAATTGAAAAGGAAAGGAAGTCCCCCAAAGTCACTGATTTTTGTTTTATTGATTATACTAAGAGCTTTGACTATGTGGACTACAGCAAACTGCACATAGCCATTACACACAAGTGTATTCTGGACCACTTTATCTGAATATTTAAGAATTCTTATGATGGCTAGGAAGCAAAATAGAATATGGAACAACACACTGGTTCAAAATTGGGAAAGGAGTGTAGTAAGGTTGTATACTATCATCCTATCTAATTTATATGAGGAACATAAAATGAAAAGTGCTGGACTGGAAAAAACAGAAGTTGGAATTAAATTTGCTGGAAGAAATACTGACAACCTCGAATAGGACAAAGTGACACCACTTGGCGGCTAGAAGTAAGAAAAGCTTAAGGAATTCCTTGGTAAAGTTTTAAAAATAGGAATGCAAAAGTCAATCTGATACACAATACCCAAATATGTCAACTGTCCATGACCACCTAATGCAAACAGGTGAGGGAGCAGCAGCAGCAGCAGCAGCAGCAAAAGACTATCTTCCAGGGCTCAAATATCTACAGGGTTGGTTATTATAACCATGAAGTAAAGGGGAACCAGCTTCTTGGGAGAGAGGCTATGACAAACCTAGACAAAATTTTAAAATATAGAGACATCACACTGCCAACAAAATTACCTACTGTCAAAGCCATATCTTTCCAGTCCTAATGTATGGCTGTAAAAGCTGGACAATCAGAAAGGCTGAACAAGAAAAACCAATGGCATTGTACTGTAGGGCTAGAAAAACTAGTTATTTGACATGGTGGAAGCTGAACCAGTCAGCACACTGGAAGGACTAAATAAATATTTTGGCCACATAACATGTAAGCAGGACTTGTTGGAGAAGACCCTAATGCTTGAAAAATCAAAGGTAATAGAAAAAGAGGCTAGCACAAGGCATGATGGCTAGAGACCATCACTAATATTGCAAGCACGAGCTCATGAGAACTCAAAGAAGCAGTTATGGATAAACAATCCCACTGGATCATGAAAAATTGGAAGTGACTGAACAACAGTCTAAATTTCATAGTTTCTTATGCAAGAGACTGAAAGAGAGCAAAGACTGCCTGGATTAAACATAAACATTACTTCTCTGTTATACTAGCTTAAGACAGCATACAAGACAGAACAGATGGGGCATACCTTCCATGGGAATGAGCCATCAAGAAACAAAGGAGTGCTGTTACCACAGTCTTACCCACCCACCCAAGGAAAAAACCAAAGAAGTTTTGATAATTTTATTCAATGAATAATTTCTGTGTGATATGATGGGCATGCCACCTTGAAGTTGTATGGAGAAGGGCATTACCTTCTTCACTGAGAGACACTTCTATCCTGAATCAATTTTTTTCCAGCTTCAGGTATAGACATAGGAGACAAAAAATACTATGTGTGTCTATTCTGTTTGAAATTCTCTTGTTTAAAAAATTAGACAAGTAGGATTGCAGGAAATTATTCCCTTTATCTCAGTGAATAATACACAAGTAAGGGAACCGAGGACTTGACCCAAAGCCCACAGTGTGTCACCTGGACTACAAAAATACCTATTTTCAGTGGTGATAACTGTTCATTTTAAATAACATCAATGAAATCTCCAGGCTAATTAAGTCTGTTTATGAAACTCCGTCATTCTTCAAAGTGCAATTTCCACATTTTGCTTGCCAGAGTAAACATACTGACAACAGTCTGTGAGTTCAAGAATTCCAGGCTTCTTCCCAGCCTTGGAACTATGAAGCAGGCAGGGAGCAAACAATGCACAGATCCCTTCTCCTAGCTCCAAGAATGAAAGGAAGGCTAGAGGTTCTTTTGGCTACTGAGTAACAGAGGTGACTCTGGTGGTGGTGCTTGGCTTGACCACACAGGAACCCTGGAAAACACAATCTTTTAGTTTGGATAATTTGAAACCCTCCAATAAGCCCTAGGTAAAATTCCTACTAGAAGAGACCTCCATAACTAGGATCTATTAAGAGCAATGCACTTTTATTTTTTATTCCACCTTTATTATTTTTATAAATAACTCAAGGTGGCAAATATACTAATACTCTTTCCCCCTCCTATTTTCCCCAGAACAGCAGCCCTGTGAGGTGAGTTGGGCTGAGAGAGTGTGACTGCCCCAAAGTCACCCAGCTGGTTTTCACGCCTAAGGTGGACTAGAACTCAGTCTCCCGCTTTCTATCCTGGAGCCTTAACCACTAGACCAAACTGTTTTTAAAAACCTAATGGTTCCACAAGGCCAATAAAAACAGAATATGATGAAATCTGTATTAGACCATAACATCCAGTTATTCCATCGCAATAGGATCCAAGATTATTTTCTTCAACATCAACAAGTTTTCCCAAGGAAATAAATGGATTCTTTGCCTAACAAAATTAGTTCCTGAAATGTAAAAAAGAGACTAGAGGAAAAACCTGAAAGAAAATAGCAAGGAGCAACCAGGAAAAGAATGCATGGCTCTGGGTCAACAAATTAATGAGACACATGCCACCATACTTGTAAACATTTACATCAAGAGAGAGGAATCTGAAGCTTTCTAGCTGTTACTGAACAACAACTTCTAGCATTCTTCATCTTTGGCTAGCATAGCTGGGGATGCTGGGACCTAGCAACATCTGAACCAGTTCTCCATTCAATTTACATGCACAAACATCTGCCCCTCAAAAAGCAGCTGATGATTGTATCATCTTCCCAAATACTATAGCTTCTACCACCAACACTAGGGTCTATTCCATTCTTTTAGCTGTTTGCAGCACAGTTGGTATAACTCTTATGCTATCTCTTAGCTGTATTGTGTAGTGTGTGAACGCTGGCCGTTAATGTTGCATGGGTTATGCTACTTTGGACGTAAGAGCTGAGTGTACACACTACTCTAATCCTAGCAGTTTACTAAAGCGAGCAGCGGCATTCACCCCAGCAGCTAACTTTGACTTTACCTGATACGCAAGTAGTCACAATAGCCTCTTCTGCTTAGCATCAAGCAAAGGGGGGAAAAAAACCCAAAGAAAAAAATCCCTCTAACCCTAACTGAAGAGATCCCCACAAATTCTGAAGAGCTCACCTGCTATGATGAAACGACTTCAGTTTTGGTTGTAGCAAAACAAACAATACAACTAGGAGAAGGATGAGAGCGACCGAACTTGCTGTAGTAGCCACTATGGATAAGGTGGGTACTCCTACGCTTGGAGGAGAACCTTTATCTGTAAAACCAACCAAACAAACAAAAAGCAGTCAATGGTTTCTCTTCAGGAAGCAGCTGTTTCCCATCACTAAGGCAGGATTCCTGAATAAACTCAGCCCTGGCAGTAAGCAGTTGGCACAGGCAGCTTTCTTCTCAGAGAAGCCTGGTTTGGCTGATGCCTGCTGCAAATACATTCAGAGAGAAGGATTCTCAGAAGAGACTGTACCTGGTAGTCAAGGCATTTGTCTCTTTATTTTTGTTTATTAAACAAATTAATATAGCCACTCATCTCAGAAGAAGTGACTCTGGGCAGTGTACAATAATCAAATAAAAAAAAATACATATATAAAAACAAGCATTTAATAATATTTAAAAAATCAACATTAAAGTAGAGATGAATTAAGACTAAAATATATACAAACCCCATGCAGAGACAGTGTACATCCACCTCAATAGTGGAGCCATTTAGACATGTCTCCGGTTCCCTGGGACCCCCAGGCCTGGTAACATAGGTCTTGAGGGATTTCTGAAACATCCAAAGGAATGGAGAGAACCTAACGTTGGGGGGCGGAGAATATTCCACAAGGCGGGTGCCACCAAATGTAGGTCCCTGGTAGATAGTATCCGCAGCATGCCCCCTCTGCCAGATCTAATAGGGCAGGCTGATATAATCAGGGATAGGTGGCCCCTCAGATAACCTGATCCCATGCCATGAAGGGCTTTAAAGGTTAAAACCAGCACCTTGAATTGGACCCAGAAGCAAACTGGCAACTCGCGAAGCAGAGGTGTAACGTGTTCGCAGAGTAGAGGTGTAACATGTGCTGTCCTAGGAGCACAACATAACTACTCACACCACTGCATTCTGCACCAGCTGAAGCTTCCAAATATTTTTCAAGGGCAGCCCCATGTAGAGTGGATTACAATAATCCAATCTGGAGGTGACTAGGGCATGACTGACTGTGAGCAGAGCTTCCTGATCCAGAAATGGGTGCAACTGGCACACAACCCGAAGCTATGCAAAGACCCTCTTAGCCACGAATGCCACCTGCTCTTTGAGCAGGAGTCATGGGTCTAGGAGGTCTCCCAGATTGCACACTGGGTCTGACTGGGGCAGTGCAATCCAGGACCAAAGATGGCATAGTCCTAGAACTAGTAAGCCACAAAACCCAGCACCACTCAGTCTTGCCAGGGTTCAGCTGATTCCTCCATAAACCACAGGGAGTGATGGGATCCCTGAGAGGGGAGAGGTCACATAGGTGCGATCTGATCCAACATCTCAGCCACCCCCTTATTCCAAGTGGCAACTAAGGCTTTGGATGGACCATGCAGCAGACCAACAGGAATAATGCCCAGTTCCCTTTGAAACCCATCTGGGTCCATCAGTCACCAGGGGTGGACCAATCAAATGGGTCCCGCTTCCCTGCAGTGGATAGTGGCAGAGAATCCCATGGAAATCAGGGCATGATCTGACCGTGACAAAGGAGACACCATAAGCTCCCCCAAGTTCAGATCACATAGCCACTGCTCCAACAGGAACATCAAATCTGGAGTGTGACCACTGTTCTGCATCAGGCTCTGGATATCTTCGGATAGGCCCATGGCTGTCATGGTGGCCATGAACTCCCAAGCCACCTCAGGCCCCATTCCTAGAGAAGGCAGATTGAAGTCCCCCAGAACCATAAGCCTGGGGAGCTCCACTGCCAATTGAGAAATGGAGTCAAAGAGCTCAGGCAGCGAGGTTACTATGGAGCAGGGAATACAACAGCAACAATCCCAACTGATCCCTAGAGCCCAGTTTAATGAACAGAGTCTCACATCTGAAAATGTGTTGTAGTGCTCCTGAAGACTGTAAGGGTTTCCCAGATCACAACTGCCATACCCCCAACCCTGCCCTGAAGTCTCGGCTGATGCCACACTTAAAACCCAGCTGGGCATATTTCCAAAAGGGCAACTCCCTCTTCTGGATCCAGCCAGGTTTCAGTGATACATGCCAGGTCAGTCCTCTCATCAATGATTAGATCAGGGTTTCTCAACCAGGGTTCCGTGGAACCCTAAGGTTCCGAGAGAGGTCACTAGGGGTTCCCTAGGAGATCATGATTTATTTTAAAAAATATTTCAAGTGCCCTTGCAATGATGAACAGAGACCAAACAAAAATCTAGTTACAACTCTTTCTGAGCTCTCTGGTGTTGCACTGTAGAACTGTGTTTATTTTGTTGAATCCATTCTTAATTTTTGACACAAGATAGGGGAGACCATTGATAACAGGTGAATACTATAATTGCAGGAAGGAAGGAATGTATTGCAGGAAGGGAGGAATATAGTGAAGGAAGGGGAGGGAGAAGTGTATTTTTTCAAGAAATTAATAGACTAGTTCAACTTAGCCTGTGACGTCAGTCTCCCTCTCCTGCATCTTTTCCCTGAGGTTTTCTTGTAATTATTTTATCCTGTTATTTTAAATAAATTTCATACATATTTATTCAGTCATGTCTGAAGGTCCGATGTGGCAATTTTTGAAGAGGAGGTGTGAGAGAGAAGTGGAGGATTCTAGAACTGGCAATACTGATAAATTTAATGATGATAATGAAGAATTTAAACCTTCTCAGGCATTTCCCTGCATTGGTACATCAATGGACTCAAAAAAAAAGTCCATCTTTACAATGAAAGCTATTTATCAATGGGTTTTACATGGACTGGTGATCCAAGTTGTCCTATTCCGTTGTGCCTCCTCTGTGGCAAACAACTTACAAATGCAGCAATGGCTCCAGCAAAATTAAAAAGACAGTTAACTACAAATCACAGCCATATGACAAGTAAAAGTTCCAATTATTTTAAACAGCTATTGGAATCACAGAACAAACAGAGTAAAGCTTTTGTTAATAAAATGATAGTCAATAAAAAAAGCCCAAGAAGCGCGTTATCTAGTAGCAGAATTTATTACACAGCAAAGTAAAAGTCACACTTTGGGTAAGAAAGTAATCATGCCAGCACATAAAATAATTGTGGGAAAATGCTAGGACCAGATACAGTACAAGAAATTGAAAAGGTTCCACTGTCAAACAGTACAGTAAGTCAGCATACTGATGACATCACATGATGCTGTTTTGTATGATAAACTGAAGAACAGCAGCTTTTCTATCCAAGTTGATGAGTCAACAGATTTC